GCCTGACGCCCAACAACTCGTCGTCGAGCAGCGCGGGCGGCTCGCCGCCGTCCACGTCGTCGCTGGTCTCGCCGGCCGCCGGCCGCATGTACCCCGCGTACGCCGTGCACCACCACCAGCAGCAGTTCGCCGGCCCCGGCGCCATGTCGTTCTCGTCGCCCGGCTCGGCCGCGCTGGCCGCCGCCGTCCAGGACGCCGCGGACAAGTCGTCGTCCGCCTCGTCGTGCCGGTACGGCGGCGCAGGCATCGGCGGCGTCAGCGTCGGCGGCGTGTCCGCGGCCGACACCATGGTCAACAGTTACGCCGCGCTGCACCATCACCACAACCAGAACGGCGGCGGCGGCACCGGGGCCGTGTCCATGGCTGCGGCCGCGCAGTTCTACCACCAGGCGGCCGCCGCGTCCGCCGTGTCCGCCGACCCGCTCAACTCCGCGTGCCCCGGACAGCCCGGCGCTCCCGGCCCGCAGCCCATGCCGGACATACCCCGGTACCCGTGGATGTCGATCACAGGTAAGGCTTTGCTCGTTTAGACGTTTCGTCCCCCGTGTCCGTGTTCCCGGAGAACACGACCCCTCTACGGTTACGACCAGTGCCGCCGCGTTAAGCTTTGTAGTCGCACCGGGGCAAATTACAATATCCCACACCCTTTAAAAAATTACAGTTCAAAATAAAAAAATAATATCTGTTATAGTTGGTATACAAGAAAAATTAAAATTTTATATTTTTTATTTTATGTTGATCCTCAAAAATTAGCCGCCCCGGGGCGATTTCTCCCCCCTTGCCCCCCGTTATACGCGGCTTTGCTTACGACGCGCACCGTCTCCGTGTGACGGTTGTCGCGATAAAATGATCTCCTAAGCACTCCTGTACGTGAATCGTGTTTTCCCTGATCTATCTTAAAAATCCTTTACGCTCCGCGCGATTTTACGATCCGTTACGGTTTCATGGCTTTTTTCAGCGACCGTTTTCGTTCTTCGCCGTTTCATAACGCGTCGATCGTACCCATTGCACGTGCCGTCGTGGTTAACCTTTACAAGTACACCAATTTTACGCGCCAAGCTTCCGCCCCGTTCGAGCTCTTTATTCGATTGTACTTCGTTGTATTACAAAATGTTATTTCAAATGATTGTTGAAATATTTTTAAACGTACCTGTGCACGTGGTTTCGGGTAAACGCTTCCCTGCACAGGTGTACCTACTGCAATAAATTTGTTTTCGTTCCTTTATTATTTTATTTTTAACGTAACTTTTTACCGAAAATGATCCGTGTAACGTTTCGCTTCGTGTCTTGATTACATTAGGACATTTTAGGTCATTAATTTATATTTAAAACTACAAAAATGATCCCTATTAAATGTACAATTTTATATATTTGTGCTACTACTAAATAATTATTCAAATATATTTATATATATATGATCCTATCGTAAACTACAGACTATAAACATTTAATTGCACTATAAATTATATGTAAATAAGTAATAAATGTACAAAATTTAATTATGTGTACAGCAATAACCATCCTAATATAAATTAAAAATTAATCATTAAAAGTATATTTACCGAATTATATGCCTACAATAGTTGATAATTATTCATTACGTTGACCATAAGAGCGTTAAAATGTTTAATAATATTAATGAATGATTTTCTTTATGCTTATTGAACGAAAAAAAAAAATTAAATATAGAAAAGTAGATGATGGTCCAAGTAAAAACGAAAATAAAAAGAATTTCTCTAAACGCTGTGCTAAATTAGATTCCTAATTTATTATTGATGTGATTATTAGGTACTCTTTAAACACATTTAATTGAGTCCGATAATATGTTAATTGTACAGGTTACATTCAGATACTCAAATGGCAATTTACATATATTTAAAAAAAATTAAACATTACCTTTCAATTAGTTTAAATAATTCAATACAGGCCTATTTCTATGGTTTGTTTTTATTTTAGTTTTAATTCCATACGTAAAACAGGTAGATACTACCTCAGAAATCATTGCACTTAGGCACTTTCGTTGTTTGTTTTTTTTTTCATATTTACATTTCTTATCACTGTTTTTTTATACAAACTGTTTGAAAATTAGTATATAAAAAATGAGTAAAAATTGAAATTAATTTTGAATTGAAAATACTAAATATTGAACACTGTAAAAAATGACAATGTAATTGTTGGTTAATAATTGGGAGTATAAAAAAAAAAAAAATTATCATAATATTATAATTCAGTTAAAATTTTGTAAAATAGCGTTTCGAAATACATTAAATTCAATTCTAGTGCCAATAAATATTGTGTGGACGGCATTTTAAAAATAATACCCCGATGTTAAATACTTGGAATCCAACCAATTTATTACGGCCCAAATCTAATTCCATCGCACCCGCATATCCTTTTTGTACGCCATACAGTTAATCCGTCCCACACCAAACCCGAAAATTTAATTTTATTACAAATATTAGATATTGTTGTTTCGTTCGCGGTTACGATTTCGAGAACATGTTTTCAAACGTATTCTAATCGATACTGTTGCCGTGTAATTATTGTTCGGTGTTCGTTTTCTCATTTGCAAACTCTAATTTCACTGTAAATTAATAATAATTCGCTGCGCAGTATTGTTGATTCTCGTAAACATCTTCGAACTGAATTCGATCGTATAATGACTTGGTAAAAATACGATTCGTGGTAAATCGGTCAAAGCTTATATTTTACTTGTTATTCGTGCCGGTTTATTATTACCATACGGGGGACTAATGAATTTGGTGTTTCTGCTATTCGTTTAAACTTAACAAACTATAATCAAGACTAGATATTTTCAAATCCCTGTCGTTGTTGTAAACGGTTAATACTAAATTTCTATTTACCGAATCCAATTCAATCTTGCGTCGAACGTTATAATCCTTTTTATAGGATGATAATTTCGTCGAGTTTGATCATGTGTCGATGAATGTTACTCGAGGCCCATAATCAATCTTCCCAGTTTCCTGTTACTCTTCAGGATTTTCTGAAAAATCAAACTGCGCCAAGTGATTTCATTTTTCCCAAGTATTTTTTAAATTTAACTTGACGAAGTCATAAAACTCCGAACTCGTAAAATCTACCTGCACTAATTGTCTCTGGGTGGTATGATTTGTATATTCTGCCTCTCTCACCCATTAACACGCAGTTCTTGGTACAAATTTCAAATCACTTAATAACAGAAATGAAAATCATCTCGACAATTGTTTCGATGAGAGTTAGTCAAACATTGTCAACTTCTGTACCGGTGCTCGAAAACTTTGTGTAAAAAAAATTATATTTATTGGCCGTGCGTGCGTTTAAACTATTGCAAAAGACCATACCTTGTGACAGACAAGATGACATTTTATATTATTTAAATTAATTACTTTTATAAAATACACGTGATGATATATAGCGAATTTCATTTTTTTTCACAATGTATCCAAAAAAAAAAAATATTAATTTCAGTCCCACAAAACTACGTGTATGTGTAATAATTGTTCTACACAGTAATTTACCTTCGCGTTAATTATTATTATATCTTTGTTATTAACAATTGTCGCCGTAATAATATTAACACGTTTTAATAACGATAATAATAATAGTAATAATTAAGTGCACACCTCTATAAATGCTTTGGCGTATAATACCACACACTATTATCCTTTCAACAATGATTTTCGTTAATGATGTGTAGTGAACAGCGGGTAAACGCCGAGTCTGTTTCGAATTCTAAATAATCGGTGTCGTGCGTTGGTTTTGAGCATACGTTATGACCGGAAGGAAAAAAATAAAAAAAATCGAAATTTCGTTACAAATCCATTCCCGTCCCTAACTACATGTGCATCGCGATCGTTTCCGTTTTCGCGACCGCGTTGACGACGACCGTTTGCATAATTTTTATGTTCGCCGAACAATGGACGATGATGGTCTGCCGCCGATCAGACCATGGGTGGGCACTGCTGCCCACGCACGGCATGTTGTAGTTGGTCGCCGCAATCGGTTCGCGTAATGGATAAAATCGCAAGTTTCTCTATCCGATCACATAGTTAACCGACCGAGTTTATTTTTTTCTTGAAATATTCTATATTATGCCATCATCTGATTCAACGAGGACAATAAGGATACAAATAATAAATAATGGCATCGAAAAAAGACTGAAAGAAGAGTTCAAACCCGATTTGACCAAAACAAATTTTACACTCGGTTCGAAAGGTTTTTCTCGCGGCACGTGGATTTACGTGCCGTATCTTTATCGTTAATTATTTCAGTCCGTCGATAATATTATCATCGGTGTCGTTCGCTTGGCGTTTTTTCCGTCGCGCATTCGATACAACGCGTGTGTTATAATATGGTTAATTACTACTCGACGATGGTCCTATACATATTATATTGAAAGTTTCCACCGTGATAGTAATGGAATTATGGCGCCCCCCAACGCGCATAATTTGCAATGCGACACGTAAAGCGTTGATAATTTTAACTCGTCCGGCGTACAATAAAATCCAAAACAATTAGCATATTAAAAACGGGAGTATAAACAGTGTTTACATTCGCGCATATGCCGTGTGCGCTGTGCCAGACGCACCGAGTCTATTAAAACCGAATACATAACGGGCACCCTGTCAATAATCGCTGCGTTAATACGCGTGTCCGTTTATTACAATTAAATCGCACCGAGAATGTTTTTTTAACGATATCGTCGTCTCGCGCCAACCAGCAACTCGTATTGCATCCCAAACACTCCCAGGCGACCCTGTCCACGGCTGTTTTTTTAAAATATAATTGTAATATTTCGAAATCGTTAATGTCGTTTGATTTTTGTTTCAGATTGGATGAGTCCGTTCGACCGAGTCGTTTGTGGTGAGTACATGAACATTGTTAATTTTTATACCGACACGTTTAAACTGTAATCATTGTAAGCGTTCTTCGCGTTCGAAACGACACAATTATTTGAATCCGTAGTTTTTCGCTTCTATTTTCCGACGGTCAAGTAATACACACCACAAATCGCACAATCAGAGCAAGAGGGCCATTTATCAAAAATACTGAAATGTTCAGGAGAGCATTTTTAATGTTTGATAATTTATAGTGATTTATAATTTTCTTTCGCTAAATATCAGTACGACTAACTAGACCCGACGTTTTCTTATAATATTGTTATCAACAAGTATAATTAAAAGGCCACGTTTCGTATTACGGCTTTGGTGTTTTCAGCTACCTCTCGAGATCTGTCTTGGTGCAATAAGTTTATTTGTATAACTGACGACTTAAATATATAATTACACAGATCGCACCACTCTAGGAAAAATAAGAATTCGGTGATACCAAAAACGTGAATTTAAAACGTTTTGATGTACGGCCCTCTTGCACTGATAGTGGGATGATACAACTAACACCGAACGACCAAACGTACCACACATTATTCACATGCACTTATATATGTATACGGGGCATGTACGTATCGCGCCCGTACGACGGCATACATCGGGTTTTTTTTTTTTTTTTATGCTATTCGGGATTGTACTTTTTCCTTCTTCGTTCCCTGTCGCGCGCGCGTGAGAACTCGAAGCCGCGTGTACGCGGTACGACTCGCTCGCGCGACGCATGTACGCGGGTCGTACCGAATAATATTATATTTTTCATTTTTTACGACCACGCACTCGGCCGGCCGGTTAATAGGTTTTTATTGGACAACAATAAGCGTTATGATGTGCGCGCGCGCGTATACGGGACGGACGTTCTCCAATGCCGTCTCCGTTAAAGAGCCGTTCGTAAATTATACGATTTATCGTCCGCGACGTGCGTGCGCGCGCTCCGACTAGAACACGACCTCGAAGGGGGGGGGGGGCGGGTCCGGTCTCTCTCGTCCCTCTGTCGCGCCACCAACATTGTACTACCACCGGTCTACCCCTTTGCTCGGCGCGTGAGACAATCTCACCCTTTTTCAGGTACATACCGTACGGTATTTACCTCACCGTCACCGCCGGCAAAACGCTTTGAATGCTTCACCGTTGTGTACACCTTCGTGTACCTATCACGCTTTAATGGCGGCGGAAACGCCGAAATCACATGCGCGCGCGAATAATGTTTATTGTTGACACAACTAATGTACGCGTTTACCGTGCGTGCATCATGATAAGATCAACGTGTAATGGATTTCGCGTATTCGGAAATGATATCGAAGTTGTTCGATGTAATGATATCGTGGGCTGCTTGAACCGTTATTAATTTTGTTGACATGTGTCGTGTGCTCAGTTGGTTCACAAAAGTAATTACGTACTTTCGTGTAAAAAAAGGAAACGTCCGTTCGAGCAGCTTGTAGGCTCGATTTACTCGCGTCCAAGGAGTACTGCGCTCTCGCACGGACGATTAGATAACACGAAAGAAGAGGAGGCAGAGCTCCGTGGGCGCTCGCAGATGTGTTTTTATGCGCGTCAAAGAAATCCTATTATCGTCCCGTGCTCGGCAAAATAATAACAGTATAACATAGGTAGGTTGTGGTATATGCGCGGTAAAGGTATAGATATTTAATATTCCTCTTCCACACTTTATGCAAAGCAGCGCGACGATTGAAGATGGATAAATCTTCCTGGGGAAGGGGGTCTAGGGGTCGGACTTTTAACGGACGGCGTGGTGTCATATCCTCCGCAGCACATAAAGTGCCGTGTCCTCATTAGCATAATACACTTATGCGTGTAATAAATATCATTGTACTACACGTCTCCGAGCCGACGATTTTCCTTCGTTGTCAACGCGCGTGGGACGCGCAACAGCCGGTTCGTGCTATTCTGTACCCGTGAAATGGAGGAGGAGGACGACGAAAATATATTATCCGTTACAATTGTAAACCCGTCTCGCATATGAACGTTTGGTGATTTAGTTGCGTTGCGAACCATATCCCCCGATCCATGCGGATCGTCCGGAAGTCGTTCGAAACTCTCTTTAAAGTCTTATTGCCGTTTTTGTTCTATAAAATAATGTTTGACCATCTTTCTAACTAGTTCATCTAATGTTCATTTTTGTACACCGAAACCGCTCCCCTCTCCCCCCTCTATGTTTATTCTAAACGCGCCTTTGCGATTATTCCGTCTTTGGATGTTTTCTTCGCGTACAGTTTCAAAGACCCTGTTTATTTACGCTTTACGTTAACCGTCATAGATTATCATCGCGTATTTTATTATTATGTTCGTGCTGCTGTTACGACGGTTTCCGCAGTACGCGTTCAACGAGAGCGGTCGAGTAAAAAACGGTCTCTCGGAATTGAAAAAAAAAAACACATCGATTCTTCGTCGTCGGGTCGCGTGCGAATGTCGTTTCCCTGTCGATTTATGACGTCGACCGGTCCCCACGATAACGCCCGAAAAGCTTTCCTCCGGCGTGTGCCGCGTATTAAAATTGAATATAATGCGCTAGAAATTGGGGCGCCAAACACTCTGGTAATTGGTAAACGGTTTTGCTCCTCCTTCGGCCCGGGTCGGCGTCGCCCAGCTCTGCTGCAACGGTACACCGCTGGTACCAGACCGGAACGGAGCGTAAAGAAAAATGTAAAACCATCAGCCACAGCCGCTCAGTTAGCACACGTCTCTTGTATTTCGCACGTTTCACGGTTTGATAATAATCATTTGCTCCGGACATGGTCATGTTTGCCATTGGGCAGGATAGGCAAACAGCCCATGGCCTACGTTATTTGGGGGCCTCGGATTTTTATGAACTTTTATTTTAGAATACAATTTTCATCATGTATAATATGTATAAGATAAATGTAATATTGAAAAAGAAAATTCAACATATAATGCTATATTTTTTATTTTGACTCAAAACGCCTGATTCGGGCCCTGGTCCCCGGAAACCAGACCGTTTTTCAAAACCAACAACCCGTTCCCAACAACGTCCATCAAAACACGATGACCGCGGTAGTGTATTGGTGTTTCCCGACCTTGCCATTTTTAATTATGTTCGAACATCTGGTCTACGATTAACGATTATTTAAATAGTAGTTTACACGACTCAGCCCCCCCCTCCCCACCCGTATGTGATTATTGAGGTTTAGTTTTTTATTTATTTTATTTCCATTTTATTACGTCGACGGGATGGACCCTTATTTACGTAAGCGTGTACAATTTGTAATCATTTAAATTGGCATAATTAAGCTTAAAATATACGTGATCAAATCAACATCGACAGCATATGAATATCGTGCGTAATTCGAATGATCGAAAAGATGTTGGAAGAAAAAAAAACTGCGAGTTTGATAATTCTGAGGTTACATTAGCGTGTTTTGGCACGAAAATTTTACCCAAAAGTTAACGTTGGCCAGTTTTTGTCGACATGTAGTCGTGTTGTATTCGCCGTCCATTACACGTTTCATTGCTCGGGAATCGAAGTGATCGCGTCCCGACGGAATGACAATCGTGTCTGTATCGTTCGCGTCCGTCACGGTCCAACGTTAACCGTACGTTTCCGGACCGGTACGTACGAAACGCACGTATACAAGTAATAAACAAGTTCGTCGTCGTCGTCGTCGTCGTTTCCACTGACCCGGTCGTCCCGGAAACACAATGTCTTCCACGAACGTCGTCGTCAAAGTCTCGTCGGGCGCGTGCTTTTAAAACTCGCCTGCATCGCGTGGCGAAAACAATGGCGCGGCGGCAACCGTTCGGCCGATTATGCACGATCGGTCCGTGATCATTGTCGCCGGGGAGACAAGAACAATATAATACGTCGTCGACGACAACGTTTTTAAATTTCATTATTTCACGCACGCCAATTTTTAAAACACGTCTCAAGGCCTTCGCCCGGCATAATTGTACACGCATCGACGACTTTGTCGCAGGCAAACGCGCGTATTAATTCAATTTAAACGGGTACCAACATAAAACGATAATATACAATCCGATGTTTCTTTTTTTATTTTATCTAAAACGTACGGTGGCTTTAACAGTTATTGCAGCGTTACTCGTTTCAATTATTGTTAATATTTAGCGTTGGTAATGTAAATACATTTTTTTTAATTATTTTTTTTTTTTTTTTTTTAATAGTACCGCATTACTGTTACAGTATTAGACGTCGTCGTGTTGACCAACTTACGTTGTCTATAAATAACGAGATTTATGTTAATCGTATTCGGATTGCCGTGTACGTTTTCACTTATTGTTCTCGGACAAAATACACGAGATGATTTCAGTTGGATGTACTACGGGTTTAATGGGAACGAAGGATGCGTATGTGTTGTCCGCGTGAATTACGTGCACGTACGGAATTATTTTTGGTGACTAAAAATTATTGAATTGCGTGGAAATGTAAAAAAAAAAAATTCACGAAACGTAACGATTCACCTTGATTGTCGTGGATGAGAAGAGGGAGGGTGGGGTGAATGGGTAACGAACGTGTGATCGTAACAAACGCTATTTCTGACGTCGCCGCCTGTTAGTGCCGTATCGTCTTAAAAGCCTTAACGTTTTCAGTATGTATACTATCATCGAAATTCCGGATCGATGGCGAGCGAGCGTAAAAAACAGCAGCGGCGACTGCGAACAAGTCGAGTCCGAAACGGCGGCCGGCGTGCGATGAATCCGGGCGCAGTCCCTTTTTTTTTCCATTTTACCAACGACGCGCTTGCAGCGACGGTCGTTTTGAACGATACTTCCGAGACGTCTCTGTACATTTCTCGGGCCCGTCGACAATGTATGCGCGACGTGTGCCATCAAAATTTCATAAACCCCGTATAATAATAGACGAAAACCAGAGTTAAAACAATGGGAAAATTAACAGATGATATCATCGGTGCTTGGGCGGTAATGACCCGTCGCATCGTACTTCCGACCGATTATAAGAAATATTAATAAAATAATACGTTGACG